TGCTGTGGGACACAGGCCCTTGCATGAGTATTCTGAGTCGTTAGTGTTGTGGATAGGTTTCTTGCATCTTTTTCTGTTAAACTCTGGATGACCATCATAAATAATGTTATAAATTCCATGTTCTGATGGTAATGGCTCTCTTGAAATCCATTACTACAACAAGCAATGAAACAGCTCCACTAAAGAACACAATGAAGTGACCAAGTACCCAAAATCCGGCCCACATCAGCTTAGAAGCCGAGGAGTCAACACACAGATGAAGATTGAGGAGACACTGTACACTAGACTATAGTTATCTTCAATGTTCTGCTATCCAATTGGGTTCTTGATCCTATTCCTCTTGGATGTCATGGTGTTTGCTGTTGACCTTGGGACAATGGCCCTAACGAAGTGGGAAATTCCAGAGGTGATTGCTTTTGTTCTATTATCCCTACTTGTTGCTATTAAACTAAATATTCAACTATTTGAAATGATTTTCCTAGTGCTAACTTGATTAATACTTCTGGGATTACACTTAACAGTCACAACCCAGGCTTCACCTTTCCTGCTCTTCATCCTGCAGGTGAAGTTTCATGACATTATTTCACAGATAAAAATAGCCAGTGCTGATGAACTTGGATGCATCCCTCTGAATATAGCATTGAATCTCCAAAAGTAAACAATATTGGAATTAACCAGGCTATAAAAGCAGGATTTCCCTCTGTTGTGTTTTTATCCCCATAGGCTATTTTTGGAAGCCCAACAGAAAGCAGAGCAGAAGGTCTATAGAAGACTTCCCTGCATGGAAGGTACTAAAAGACACTTAAGCATAATTTAGGTGACATAAACCTGTTGACTTATGGATTGTATATGAATCCTAAGATGAAGCAGAATTATAATATTAAAAGAGAAGCATACTGTCCAAAGTGATGTTGTAGGACCATAGGATTCTGGGTATGGCAGTATGGGGGGTTATACCTTACAATTAGAAAAAAAAGTGACTAAAATCCAATGACCCAGGGGTGGGCTCAGAATAACGAGTTCTAACATGTATATAGAGAATAGTTACAACGTTGCAGAACTGCATAATCAGACAAGTTCTGTTTGCGGGTTTGAATCATACTCAAGGATATTAATAATCCAATTTGAGCAAGAAGGCTCATTTAGGGCATTCAAATATATATGCAAATATACGGAAGGGAACAGAGCAAAGAATTCTTTCTTACATACCAAGGACTGAAATTTTGGTCTGAAACCCTGCTGCATTTTTTCTTACACTCTCCTGCATGTTGCATGTTTGTGTAAGCCTGATGCCAAATGTCTTATCTAAGGCACCCCTAAAAGAAATACCTCACCCCTGCTAGATATGCAGGATGACCCAGGCCAAAAAGTGCAAAATCTAGGATTTACTTTATAGGACTAATAAACTTCTAAAAATGTCACACCCCATGATAGTAAGGAACTTCTGGATGATTAGTAGACCAAATTAAACTTTTATGAACCTATAGCTTCCTCAACCATAGTTATACCCAAAGACCCTGTTACCTGGAAGACTGAGAACCCATACCTTTAGTCATGATAGAGACTGTTTATGAACAAGAATTTCATGCAGGACAGGGTGACAATGAGGTTACATGAAACCAGACTAGGGTTCAGGATTGCACCTACTGGGAGGCTCAAGAGTTGTGGTTTTCTCTACTAATGGGTTGTTCAAATGCCTCAACCATAGACCAAACTTTTACTATGACACTACCTTGCCTACTACCAAAGCTCATTCACAGAGTGACAGCTGCACATGTAGGGAGTCACGACTGATGCCTTTTGGTTAACCACTAGACATGACAAAGCAGACTGCTCTACTGCAAGTAATTGTAAGGGCATGCATCCTGTGACACTTGCAATTAGTGCTGGAGCACTAGCCCATTCTGAAACATGACTCTAGAGGCTTCACTGAATAACACACAGCATACAACAGAGCATCATGTGGAGGTAGTCAGTCATTAAACTGTTTCATAACCAGGTGAACTCCCTGGCAAATGTATATTTAAACAAATTTAGAACGGGACTTAGCCTTTCTTTAATGGAACAAGCAGGGCATTCTACTTTAATAAGAGAAACTGCAGTTTCTATGCAAACAATTAATGGATAAACATAGAACCTTTAGACAAATCAGGACAAGAATCAAAGGGGGAAAACTGCACAATGAAACTCAATATGATATTGTTCAATTGGAATGTGTAGCTGGACTCAATCCTAGAAGGAATCACAGGGCCAATATTTAATATCATAGTTGTCCTCAAATTTAGGTCATGCCTAAAATTAACTGGATAATACATAGGATTCAAAGTAGTATATATCAATCACATATGATACTATTGGATGACTGTAATACCACTCAGCTGAACTAGTAACCACCACCTCATGAAGGTCTAGCTATATCCTAGAAAATAATATATTGTTGAGTGGAGAATGTGAGGGCATTCACATCCCCCAGTACTGTTTCTCTTTTCTGCTTTTGCACTAGAAATACCACAAATCCTGGTCTTCAAAATTCCTCTTACTTTGTGGTTTATATGGATATCTAGTTAGCAAACAGAACTGAAATACTAAGTGAACTTTGGCCAAATCCCCAAAGTCTGCTCCTCTGCAATAACTGGTCAGAAAAGATATGGAAAAGGAAAAAAAGTGTTTTCATCTCAAGCCACCAAAAGGCAAGTTTCCTTACATTTTGCATCTTGATTAACCAGACATGTAAGAAACTCTTCTAAGATTCCAAAGCAAAATAAGTACTGCATTGATGGGATTCATAGCAACCCTCTAAACTTGTGGACTTGCATAGCGATTTATAACCAAAGTGAAAAAAGGCATCATCAGTGTAGTCACCAGTCTTAATGTCCCATGGCTGACCTGCACTGTTTAAAATATACCTCACCTGTTTGTGGAACTAAGTGTCCCAAGCGTTAATATCTTGAAAATGCCATAACAATAAAACACAACCTGTGGAGTCCAACATCCAGTGAAGCCCTTTTCCCAGAAGAAACTTGCAGAGCCTGTATATTTTCCTGAAAGGATTTCTATCTTGTATCAGCTGTGTGTTCTTTTGTGATCTGAGGTGCATCTCTCACATAGATCAACCTAAAGGATTTCAGCTCTACTATTTCTAAAGGCTTTTGAACTGCATGTTCAGGTATAGACACCACAACAACCCAACTCTTTGGGTACCAAATGTAATGTTGGGTATTTTCTCCCACTAATGAGACAAGATATCCGATATTTAAAGTCAAGGAAGGAAAGGTATATTTATATCACATTTTGTGGACATTTCACTCTATAATCAACTGACTCCATGGGAGAGTAGTGCATGGTAAAGGGCAACATTTCATGGCAGCAAAAATCAATGAAATCAACAAGAGCAAAATGAATGAAGCATGGGAAGAAAATTCTTCCTGTTCTTTATTTTGCTTGTAGACCACACCGACTTGTGTGTAGTAGCACTCACACCTTTAATCTCAGCTTTGGATCATGAGTCATTCAGAAAATCCGGAAGCCTGCTTCCATGACTGCATGAGATTTTGGAGGAATTTTCAGACTCACACCAAACACTTCATTTTACAAATGTCTTAGAATGTTTTAGGTTCAAATTTAATTACTTCTCAGTAGGATATTTCCAATGTAGTATCCTTTTCCAACAAGAAAGATTTATACATAGTGTGGGTAGGTCACAGATACACTCTCACATGATCAGAAGTGACATGGGAAAGAAGACCTATTTTTGTTATTCTTTTTGTTCTTTTTTTTGTCTACCTGTAATATGTTATTAAATGCAGATTTTGTTTAATGACATAAGGTACACTAGATTCGAAATTATAGGGTATGAGACACAAAGAGTGAAGAATTATTCGGAAAATGAAGAGGTTTGTTGATGACATCTCTGACAGTGAACTTACTGGCCTATATGTCCCTTTTCTGTCCTGTTAGTCACTTGTATAAGCCTAATTTTGACATTATCACTCCCCATTTCCATTGGGGAACTTGATTCATATGGTTGTCCACATTTGGCATTCTCTGATCTATCATCTGCTTTCCATCTGAGGGAAGATGAGAGGCTGTGGGACAGGGTAGGAACACCAGAATGCTGGTAACTGAGTAGGTTATCAAAGACTGTGTTTGTTTGTTTCTTGTGGTAATGAGAAATGCAGGACAGAGAGTGCAATGATTCAAACTTTAGAGTTTCCCTTAGGATTACATGTTGGTGAATGCCAGTTGCAGGGAGGTTATAGGAAGGAAATAGATTCAAGACTCTATTAGAAATAGGTTGGCCGGCCAGGTGTGGTGGCTTACGCATGTAATGCCAGCACTCTGGAGGCTGAGGTGGGAGGATCATTGCAAGTTCAAGAGCAGACAGGACTACAAAGTGAGCTCAAGTCCAGCCTGAACTGCAAAATGAGACTCTGTCTCAAAAAAAGACAAAAAAAAAAAAAAAAGAAAGAAAAAGAAAAAATAAATAGGTTGGCTGGGGGGGAAGAGGTGGTTCTTCTTTGTAAATTGATCCAGTGTCAGGAGCAAGGGACATGGATTTGGGATAGTTACAAACAATGAATATTAGCAGACTGTCTCTAAACCTAAAGTATAGGGTAAGAAATCAATGTATGCTACTTGCCCAGAACTCTTAGATTTCCTCCTCCCCCAGTTCACTCTTTGGGCCCAACTTGTGGAACTAGTAAGAATCCAGAGTTGCAGGGTGTGGTAGCACAGATCTATAAGCCCAGCACTCAGGAGGAGAATTTCTCTTTCCCTGAGTGTAGTGCTCTCATATTCTAATTCACATTTTCAAGGACAATTGGCACTACATAATAACTTGAATCAAAAAACCAAAGAATGAAGGAAAGGAAAGAAGTAAATATGGAGGGAAGAAGAAAGAAAGAAGAAATGAATAAAGGAACAAAGAAAAGAAGGAAGGAGAGAAGAGAAAAAAAGAAGAAAGGAAGAAATAAAGACTATAATTTATGGATAGATCTCACCTGCTTTCTTCCAAAGCTTCTGTTCTGTCTGCTTTCAGATACTCACTAGAGTCCTCCAGTTTTCTACCAGGCTCAGCATCATTATATATCCTCAAGGTCCAGTTGTGCTTTCCAAGTAAATGGCAAAATGCTCAGTCATTGGGGTTATTATGCATCCATCTTTCTCAAAAACTACCCTTGCTGTAATGAAACACATTAGTTTCATCACTTCACGACATGGGGACCTGGTAAATTATTCACAACATTCTATAATCCACTATTATCCTTAATCATTGCTTCCTGGGTTCAGATTTTAAATTTTATCTAATCCAAATAAGGTAATTTATCCACTTCTTATTACTTACGTTGAAAACTTATTACTTATTTAAACTTATTACTTATGTTGGAGTAGAAGTCTACCCAGTACTTTACATTGATTATTAAATAGAGTAGTACACGGGGTATAAACTGCTTATCAACACTGTTGTAGTCAGGGGTTGTACACAGAGAACAATTCAGGTGGGACATGGAGTTTATAATATTTTTATAATAGTCACCGGAAGTAACACAGGAGAATGCAGGAAATCTATCCACAACACCAATGACATAGATGATTTAGTCAAGAGCCTAAACCCCATGGCAATGTCCCACGTGAGTCCAGATAAAAACCCAGCGCTCAGGACAATGCCTCCACGAGTCCAACTGGAAGTCCAGGGCCCACAAGGACTCATGCCAGTCTCTTGTACAGATTCATGCCGGGAAGACCCAAGGGTCAGCGGTGGAAGCCAGAAAGTCCATGCCAGCAGGATGAAGGAGCTGTGCTAGTGGGATGAGGGTTCTACACTGGAGCTGAGAAGTCACACTCACAACAAAGAGCGGGGCTGTCCTGAAAGGAACCACAGCTGTCCTCAGCGACATGGAGGCCCCGAGCTCCTCTGGCGACAAGCACAGTCAGGAACGTGCCAGGAAGCAGCGTGAGGAGTTCACCCTGGAGACCAGGCAGCACATGTCTTCCCCTCCGGAGCCAGGAAGCAATGCTCGATGTGAAGACCAAAGCTTCTCCAGGAGAACCAACAGCTCAGACAGCAACTTGTAGGAGAACTAACAATGCCTCCATAATGCCTCGATCCCTCTCTACACCTTTTGTCTTCTCCACCTATTTATCCTGGCAACCCTTCTCAGGTGGAGGATCTTCTCTCAATGCATACTGATGTAATCCAGCTGGTGTTAAGTTGACCACCAGTTATCAAACCATAACAAACACCAATACCTATTCTTCTTTTGGTTTCCTAGTTTAAGCTGAGCATAGGCTGCCCAGATAGTTCATACTACCTAACCTTTGTGGCCAGAGAGTTTGATTATGGGATTAAGTTCTATTTGGAAGTATGCAGATGAAAGAGATCCACACAATTTCTGTGGCCTTTCTTAGAGAAGAGTGTTTCCTCACTATTCATTTTTACTGTGGTTTTCAAACATGAGAAGACATCTCAGGAACATCTATCTTTTGCCTACCTTATATCTGGAAACAGTCATATCCTCAAAGAGTCCTGGTATTTTTGCATGTTTTGTGCTAAATAAAAAGCTTTGTGAAGCGGTGTAGTTTATGAAGTGATTTTGTCAGCTCATTGCTTCTGAGATTTAAGAGAACAGTACATGCATCAATTTCTTTCTGATGAGGCTCTAGTGGTAACTGGTATAACAATAGTTATTATTACTGAATTATTAATGGCCTGGGTTAGGATCAAGTGTGATGACTCATTCTTGTGGAAACTAATCCATTTTCATGAAATGTGACCCACTCCTGTGATTTGAAACTTTCAAGTTTCCTAGGATACAAATGGTGTGAGCATGGAGAAAAAGCACAAGAGTCAAGAGTACAAAAACCTGAGACCATTTGGAGCCCTCTTTCTTGATGGAAAGTACAATGAATCAGGAGGAGAGAAAGAAGGAGCTAGAGGAAACCACATGGGAGCTCCATGGGATGCAGCACATTATTATTTATACAGTTGGGAGATTCAGTATCATATGAAACCTCTCCACCAAAGAGCTTATCCACATCACCTGCCTCAGGCACCCAGTGATTTTGGGATAAGAGCAGCTATCCCTGTGACTTGACTCAGGAAGTCCCTGTTGTTCAGACTAGCCTTGCTTTGGCACCACATGTGATCCATTTTTAGCTTCAGCTGCTCTGCTGAGTTAGCCAGACTTTTACTTTCCCTGAGTGTAATGCTGTCATAGTCTAATTAATTTCCAGAATGTTCTAAACCTTAAGGCTTTATTACTTTATCCCTGCCACACTATGAACCCAATACACAGAATAAGAGTCCCATCCTAGAATAGGAGTTCAGATATGTAGGGGATTTATCTCAGCAGCACAAGCTCCTGCTTTACAAGAAAGTAGTTTTGAATTCCATCTCTGGTATGGAAAAAAAGAGTTCAAACCATACCCAAATCATGACAATCTGCAATACGTTTAGGTAGCTTTGCAAAATGCTGAGCCACTTGTCAGCATTTCCTTGCTGAGACAAAACTACTTGACACACATAACCTAAAGCACGAGTGGTAGACTTTGGTTTGTATACTCAGAGTTTGGGTGTTCCAAGGCACAAACATCATGGAAGAACTTCCTGGATGTGCAAATTTGTTCTTATCATGGCAACAAGGAAAGGATCAAAATGAACAGCTGCAAGAGATACTCCCCCACCCCAATCTATTCCACAATATGCAAGATCCATGGGGCGCCAACTCTTAACATTACACGCAACTGTGAACATCCATGGATGATTACACTGAGGGTTGCAGTTGCCAAGTCAGGAGATTTGTAATCTCATCAAGTTGATGATGTTGATTAACTGGCACAGGAGTCATGTGACCAGTTATTCCAAAGGTACTTGAAGTAGCAGTGGCAGATAAAAATGCACTGTGGAGATTTTGGGTTTCAGAAATTCAGTTCAGGTGTGGATAAGTAATCTCAGCATCCTGGTAGACTGAGATGTTTTGCCAAAAATTGGATTAAGCCTAAGAAACTCAGCTAATTAGTGAGATCTTTTTTTCCAACTAAACAATCGAAATTGGTATGAAAGTCCAAGATTTAATCCCCAAAACCATCTTCGTCAAAAAAAAAAAAAAATTCAGCCCTTAAGGATGGTATTATTAAAGTCATTAGGAATTGTTAAATTTTCTACATCTTTAAGTTGTTATTGTGCTATTTTAAAATTTATGCTCAGAGCTTTCCTAGCAGATATACTACTTCACTTTTAGGCTATATTTTTCATTAAAAATATTCCTTTTTATCATCATTGGTGTTACTTTGTGTGCCTCCAACGTACAGTGATTTGATTCTATTTCACAATCTTGCTTATAATCATAATAATACAGCATTACATTGCAGTGTTTGATCTACTTCCTCTGTGTTATTCAGGTATCATGCATTGTGTGTTTGGATATCTGTGTGTGTGTGTGTGTGTGTGTGTGTGTGTGTGTGTGTGTGTGTGTAAATGGCTCCCAAGTGTTCATACATGTGCAAGACTGTAAGCTATCACTGATATCCCTACACACCCAGTCCCTGAGATAATTATTTCTCTACTAGTGGCAAAGTAGAACAAGAGTAACTGGACTCACCCTACAGTAAACACTTTTGTTGATTTCATAGCTTTTCTTATTTATTTAGGACTGTACCTTCTGGTTCTTTGGCCTTTTCTGTTCTTGACCAGCTGAAGTAGGATTGTAGTTCCAGAAGTTTCTCCAAAATGTGGTCTTTTTCCTACATGCATGTTTTGGCAACCTGCATTGAGTGTTCTTAGGGTTCACAGTACTCAATTCCTTCTGCTCTTACTTGGAACTTCAAATCCACAAAGCTTGCTGCAGTGCTGCCTGTTATTCTCACATTTTCCCTGGGAGGATTTCTGAGATTTTGTGGTTATATGAGAGATTATTTTCCTCTCAAGCCTATTGGAAGTATTTCTGTTTCCTTCATTCCAACATGACTAGTTTGATTAGTGTTGATTTTTGTGTGTGTGTGTGTGTGTGTGTCTTTTTGAGACAGGCTCTAGCTATGTGGTTCACATTGGTCATACATTTGTTAGGATCCTCCTACCTCAGGCTCTGGATTTCCAGGATTAAAGGCGTGTACTACTATGCCTGGCTGCTGCTGTTGATTCCTGAATACTCAAATTCCAGAAACCTGCCCTACCTCTTTACAAACTAGAAAATAGAAAAATTAGGCATAGTGGACTGTCTTAAATCCCAGAATACAACAGTCTCAGGATCATGGAAGGCCTAGAAATAGCTTGGACTACATAACAAGACACTGTTTCAAAATTTTTAACTAAGTAAATTAATGAAAATTATAAAGAAATTCAGCAGCAGCAAAAGAAATCCTTTTCATTAAGAAGACAGAACACAGGTATAGAAAGAATGAACTGAATCTGTTAATCTGAGTAAAACATGCTGAGCTCAAGTGGATTAGAGTACTTTGCAAAGATCCCCCCTAAGGTAGATCCTTATCTAAATGGTATCATAGGGAATCCTAGAAGGGTGGGTCACATCTGTTTGAGAAGAACTCACCCTGTTTTCAGCACAACTCCAAGATTTGAAATGGGTTCTTTGTGTCTCCAGAGTGCAAACAGCCTTTCTGACTCTACTGTATGTGACTCTGTGTGCCGCAACTCTAAGTTAAGCATTTAAATCTTGTAAATTTGATTACTAGCACTTAATGTGTTTACCTAGCAAGCACTGTCTAACACAGATAGGGATATTTCAGGAAGTGTACCTGGGGCTCTATGAAATAGAATCCCAGATATAAATTGTATTAAGAAAAATAAATAACACGTCTGAGCTCTTGCCAAGACAGCACAATTTTACTTCATTTCATTTTTATAAAATTTCTTTTAGAAAACCACAAGGATATCACCAGGGGCATTAAGATAGCAAGTGAACACCAAGATTGGCATGATGTCATTAAGGAAAGTTTTCTGTCACTTACTTGTCCTGAAAATTTCTCCCTTGGCATGGGCAAGCTTGACATCCCTTAAGCACAATATTTCTTTAGCTGCTGGTCTTTCCTTGTGACAACAGACCTGTGTGAGTTGGGCAGAGGGCTCAAATGAGGGATTCCTAGAATGCTTGATGTGCACTGGGATAAAGAAATAAGAAACACAGTTCCCTCCCTCACTGCTTTTATCTATTCTTCATGGTGCCCTATCTAGTCTCAAATGCAACAGTATCAGGTGAAGGGGCAGGAGTGGGCACGTTACCTGCCTTGGCCTGGTTGTACCCTTGTAGGAGAGGAGGATGGCGATTTGATAACACAGAATTCTGGAAAGAATTGTGTGAGTCAATTGGCATGCAAAAGGGAGCAAAGGAAAACAAGTGGGAAGGAGAGGCGTCTGCTTGCCAAATTAAAACCTTCTATGGCCAAGGAAGGGACTGAGATACAGTCACATTTTCTGCCTAATCCTCAGCAAACTTTTTACCCCATTACACTCCAAAATCTATGTTAAGAATAATATAGTGCCATAGGCAGAAAATGGAGATCAAATACAGTGTTCAATTAGGTGTTATCACCACAAACCCCATAAATTTTCAGAGGGCACCATTTGTTTGAAGCACACTCCAGTTATCTGTGTCACAGCCCTAGACTGCTTTGGAAGGTTAACAGCAATGAGGTGTGTTAGAAAAACAGGTGACCAAACAGGCATGCTGGTACACACTTCCAATCCCAGCATTTCTGGGGAATTTAGCATGAAGGCTCGGAAACATAAATCCCATCTTTGTAAGTCTAGTAAATAAATTGGACCAAATCTTCTCTCCCAGATAAATAAATGGATGAGAGACATAAATCAGTGGCAAGTCTATCAATCTCCAGTAGCAACAAACAAAACAAAATCGACTGTGTCATAAAATATTACTAACGTAGACCTTTTAGTAAAATTTTTTGCTGCTTATGGAACTGAATCTTACTGTGGAGTTCCAGCTTTCCTTGAATAGTTAGCAATTCTTTTTCCTTGCTCTCCAGAGTGGTTCAATTACAGGAAAATATCATGATAACAAGCAAAAAGCAGACTTCTTAGGTGAAGTTTTTCTTCCAGGAATCAATTAACAACTGAGTAGTGACTGATACACTAGCAATCT